CCAGAGGTGGTGGAAGGGGCTCCTCCACCATGACCTGCATGGCCTAGAGGGATGTGACTTGGCAGAGGACTCTGCAGCAATCCCTCTTGCTGGGGAATACCCCAATGAGGAAAATATCCTTATTTCCCCTTGCAGTGAGGGGGCTGCTTGGTAGGGTTGGAGGAGACACAATATGGACCTTAATTTCTGAGGAGCATTTCCCTCCTGCCTCATGTCAGAAACGTAGTTCAGGGAGTTCAGCTGCCAAAGACAAATTTTGTTTTTGCAGTCAGAACATATTTTGTATACCTGCATGATAAGACATCAGAGAGGAATACTCAGGGGGTGAATAAAGGGAGGAAAAGTGCTGTGTCAATAATTTGCTGGCTGTTTCCACTTTGCTTTGACAGCAGAGTTTCTGCTTTGAGGCAGATATTCCGACGGCAGTTAATAGACAAGAAGTGGCAGGGATTTCAGCAGCAGAGGCTGAGCAGATCCTGGGCCAGGAAAGGGCATTTCCCCACATTCAGATCTGTTTTTCATAAAAACTGCAGACGTGCCTAAACCTTCCCAATATGCTCCAAAGTTGTGCAGCTGTCTCCTTCCTCAACTCCTTCCAGATTCAAATGCAAATCAAATTTGATGGCCTGGGTATGTAATTTTGTGCTACAATATACCACGCTGTGCACATTAAGGAAACTGGAAGCATCTTTTCCATCTATTTTCCTTTTAAAATCAGTGGCAAGATTTGCATTAGGACCGGATAAAATCCTTACATGGGCATCTTGAAGGACTGGGAGATTTTTTTGCAAAGAAGCTTTGTAAGAAACAAAATCCTAACTCAGGTTTAGTGGAGTTATCAATGAGTTTGGTCCTTGTGCCTCCACCCATCCTGGAAACTCCACCTGCCAGGGTTAGGGAGGTTTGACACAGGCTGGAGGGTTTGGGACTCAAGGGTCTGGGACTCAAGGGTCAGGGACTCAAGGGTGTGAGATTCAAGGGTCTGAGATTCAAGGGTCTGCGATTCAAGGGTCAGGGACTCAAGGGTCTGGGACTCAAGGGTCTGGGACTCAAGGGTCTGAGATTCAAGGGTCAGGGACTCAAGGGTCTGAGACTCAAGAGTCTGGGACTCAAGGGTCAGGGACTCAAGGGTCTGGGACTCAAGGGTCTGGGATTCAAGGATCAGGGACTCAAGGGTCTGAGATTCAAGGGTCTGAGACTCAAGGGTCATGGACTCAAGGGTTTGGGATTCAAGGGTCTGGGATTCAAGGGTCAGGGACTCAAGGGTCTGAGATTCAAGGGTCTGAGACTCAAGGGTCTGGGATTCAAGGGTCTGGGATTCAAGGGTCAGGGACTCAAGGGTCTGGGATTCAAGGATTAGGGACTCAAGGGTTTGGGATTCAAGGGTCTGGGATTCAAGGATCAGGGACTCAAGGGTCAGGGACTCAAGGGTCAGGGACTCAAGGGTCTGGGATTCCAGGATCAGGGACTTACTTAAGGGTCTGGGACTCAAGGTTGTGGGAATCAGGGATGCTGCTGATCTCGCTCACAGAGGAGGGAAAGGAGGAGGAGTTACTCACAGCTACCAAGGATTTTGTGAGGAGTTGTTGCCAACTGGCACAACTCAAAAAAAAGGTGGAGAAAATAGAGAATTTAAAAATACACACATATCTCTGGGACATGAAAAACCTTGAACAGAGAAGACCAACTACTGTGAAGCCCCTCCACCTCGGGTGGCCGCAGAGCCCAGCCCCGGGGAGCGGAAGGCGGGCGGTACTCACTGTTGGGGTCCACGTTCTCGCAGAGCTCCGTCTTGGCCTCGCCGTTGGGCCTGTCGCTGGGCTTGTGGGACAGCCTGGAGGACATGGTGGCCGCCGTCACCACCGCCTTGAAGCTGCGCTTGCGCTTCTGGACGTTGAGCTCGGGGTGGAAGAGGATGATGTAGACCTTGGGCACGTAGAGCATCCCCAGCGCCACCGACGCGCTTAAGTTCATGGATATTGTAAGTGTGGTGGTTTGTATGTAGAGCTAGGAGACACAACACAGGAGGCACCATTACAGGGAAGAGGACTGGGAGGCCAGCTGTAGCATTTCAAACAGTGAGCAACCGTTGAGAAGCAAGTTTTAATGAGCTTCCAACCAAAGGTGCCTGAGCTGAGACCTTCACCCTGCGAACCACCGTGAGGTCCAACCCATCAGCTACCTGCTGTGTCAAACCACCGTGAGGTCCAACCCATCAGCTACCTGCTGTGTCAAACCACCGTGAGGTCCAACCCATCAGCTACCTGCTGTGTCAAAAGCTCAACAGTGGAAACCTTCAGTGTCCTAAACAATACAGACTCTGCTGGGCACTCATGGTGCAGCTTCCTTGTGTTTGTTTAAAGAGTGAAGATCAGGCTTGGATTGAAAGAGTGCTGGCATCAATTTAAGTTTAGGTCTACTGTAAGTTGTAGAAGAGGAACTGTAATAATAGAGGTTAAAAACAGAGGTTAAAAATCACAGAGGTGAAAAAAGATCTGGTTTTAGATTTGAGGAAAGTGGTTTTTTGTTTGTTTGTTTGTTTGTTTGTTTTTCTTTTGGTGTTTTTTTGTTTGCTTGGTTTTTTTACTAGACTTTAATTCTCTACAATTCATTGAAAGAATTTTGCAGAGGATACACAATGATTTGTGTGCTCGTGACACTCAGCTGTGCTTATTATGGAAAAATAGTACATATGCACAGCTGAGATCAGGTACTGCCAGGGGATGAGTCTGCAAAGAGACCACAAGGCTTCAGAAATGTACTCTGTAAGTGTACCCGGGTAGAAAAGCCTTTTTTCCTTCTTTTTTTTTCTAAAATTGTTTTTTCAGAGGACACATTCAATCGATAAACTAGAACAATTCTCCTGACTTAAGAAGATCAGGCACAGTTAAAAGGCACAGAGACAGCACAATACAGGTGTGAGGGACCTGAAGAGGGAGCAAAGTCTCTGCAGATCCTCTTCAAAAATGAAGTATACAGTAAATCCATACAGGTGGGAAAACCATCACACATGGAGGGTGAGTTCTTCAGAACACTATTTCCTCTTCTCCTCCCGTTCAGCTCTAATCAGTCTGAGTTTCTGATGGGAAAACTCCATGAATAAATATAACAGCAGAGTAAAATGCTGACTCTGCCCAGGTATGTCCAAATTTCTGTATTTAGGAAAATATGAATGTCTCCAGCCTGGCTAGTTGTATCTACACAACAGTTGCTATCACAGTGATAAAGACCAACCCTGAAAGCCATAAGATGCCTTACAGAAAACCCAAACCCCATGCCGTGCAGGGATGTGTCTCCATACAGAGGCAGACAAGCCACAACTAAAGTGCTTTCTTGGTTTCTGTTTCCTCATTCTGAGAAGGAAATGAGACTGCTGTCAGAAATTTTGCCAAAAGTCAGGATACTGGGACATAGAGCATCTCATCGGGTGAGGATGGGCCAAATCACAGCATCTGAGGGTGGGAGGAAGCCCCAGGGGTCACCTTGTCTAAAACCCTGCCTGAGAAGATGCCACTGGCACAGGAGCTGATGCTGACTGACCTCTCTACCCAGACCCTGAACCAGCCCTCTGTGGAGGCTTCACAGCCCTCTGACCAATCTCCTGTAGAGTGCCTGGGTCCCCAAAATGCTCAGTCTGCACCTGAAAGAAGCTGCCCATTGTCCTCTCCTGGTGGCACGGAGAGCAGGTGGCCACCACGCCCTTTGTTACCTTCTTTTATAGATTTAAATACTCTTTGTCTTTTGGAGAACCTTTAAAGAGCAGCAGGGTACCCTGTTGCTGCTTGCTCTTGGACAAATAACAGGGTGATTCCTCCCAATTTCGGGCACTGTGAGACCCAAGGCCCTTCTCTCTCCCCTGACCCCAGACACTGCTCTGGACCTGCTGCCTCACCAAGATGTGGTAGAGAAGGATGCTCTACCAAAGGCTTCCTTGCTGGAGAATTCTCTCCTGAACTGATCTGCCAGCAGTGCTGTGAGACAGGAGGTTTGCTTTCCTCAGGCAGGCAGTGTTGCTGCCTCTGCTCTCCACTGCAGAGTTACAACCTGGCTGCTTATTCCTCACCTTATATCTTCCAGTTTAATGTTGTCATGCTACAGATATACACTCCATACCCTTATTTCCATGTGCATAAGCACCACGTCTATTTATCTTCCAAGAACATATAAAATATGAGACAGTTTGCAATGATTTTTCTTCCTTGGAGCTGATCCTCCTTTCAGCTACGTTCCCATAAATCAGCCGTAGCTCCAGTGGGGTCAAGTGCATTGCATTGATTTAAATCACACAGGATTAAATATTTATTAAAGAAATTTAAGAGCTAGAAGCGAAATGAAATATAACATAGAGGGGCTGAAGGATAACAGGAAGACATCCTCCTTATCTTCAAATTGTTTGTAACATACTACCAGCTTTTCTCCATGCTAAGGTAGGGAATTATTATTTCTATTTTACAAAAAGCTCCCGAAATTGTTGTCAGAGCTGCAGGTACAACACCTCTAAAGGGCAGGGAGGTGCTGTGGGCTGGATATGTGACTAATGACATCACACCACAGGACTGTCTGCTTCCCAGCTCTGCATTCAGCCCACACACCTCTCTGCTAACACTCGGGAGCAAAACTTCCTTAAACCACATCTGCAGCTCTTATATTTGGGCTGGAGAGGATGCGGCTCCGTAACACATTTAATAAGAACTAGCTCAGTTTCTATAGACCAGACAGTAACTAAAGCCCACAGGCACCTGAGCAGGGCTTCTGAACCACATCTGCACTGCCACAGGGTTCGGGAGGGTCTCTCCCTGAAGAGCTCTGCCAGAGATGCAGAAGTGTCTCAGTGTTTCAGTGTTCCACTCAGCAATCCTCTCGGCCAGCTTGAACCCCCAGCCAGCCTGCTCAGGTGGCCACGGGGCAAAAAATCCCCCCCAGGAACGTTTGGCAACTAACTCTTGACTCATTTTCCTAGAGAACAGAAAAACCTTCACCCAGAAGCAGGAATATGGACCACAGGGGGTGTGTGTGTGGAAATTAAAAAAAGAAAAGCTAGTGGCACAGCATTGCCAGCATGAGACACATAATTAATGTTCCATGGACAGAAATAGCATATTTACATTTGATTTACACATTTTCTCCACCCAAATCCCACTTCTTCAGCATGGAAAACAACAGCTCCCCATGAGAATTTTGATGAACTTGTCAGTGAGGCAAAATAACTTTATACCATCACACTCACAGGCACATATGTCATAGGCATACTGTGTGTGCCAACTAAAAACCCTGACAAAGCAGAAGGAAAGAGGCATTTTGAGTAAGAGCTACTTTTAAAAGCACTACGTAGCAAGAAGTTCTCAGATGGGACCTGTGTAGAAGTATTTGATACCTGTGCATGGTATTTTCTGTATTTTGGAACAGCACCTGAGGTGGTTACATGGTACCAATGTTGCCCTTCAAAAAGAGAGGGTAAGGAGTGAAGATCATACCCACCAAGAGCAGGAGGGGATCCTGTTTGCACAGCTCCTTGGAACAAAACACACAACCCACGCTGAGCCACCTTCTCTTGTGCAGGAGCTGGAGAGTCCCAGAGTGCCACCATGGTGGGGTTGGGAGGGACCTCTGGAGATCACCTCATCCCACCCCTGCTCCAGCAGCTCACCCACAGCAGGGTGCCCAGGGTCACATCCAGGTGGGTTTGGGATCTCTCCAGAGCAGGAGACTCCAGAGCCTCTCTGGGCAGCTGCTCCAGGCTCTGACACCCTCACAGCAAAGATTTTGTTCCTCCTGGTCAGATGGAACCTCCTGGGTTCCAGTTGGTGCCCGTTGCCCCTTGTCCTGTCCCTGGGCACCACTGAGCAGAGTCTGGCCCCAGCCTCTTGCCCCCCGGGGCCCTTTAGCTCTTGCTCAGCACTGCTCAGATCCCCTCTGAGGCTTCTCCTCTCCAGCTCAGCAGCCCCAGGGCTCTCAGCCTGTCCTGGCACAGAGATGCTCCAGCCCCTCAGCACCTTCCCAGCCCTACACAGAACTGTGTTTGATGAGCTCCTGGCTTTCCAAGAACGACCAGCTACCAACAACAATCTACCACTGGAGTCATTCGCTGTCCTATGAGCCCCCACGCAGGGGCTCCAGGGGGTGGGTATGGATATCCTGATCCATCAGGGAGATTGCTCCCCAGAGCAAGGGCAGGTTTCTGCACCAGTGCCTGAGAACCTCCACAGCCACACGCTCCAGCCAGCAGCTTCCCAACGTGGTTTTCCATGGGCTACACCAGCGGGGACCTGGCCTCACCTGGAGGTGACTTACCCCGGGAATGTTTGGAGCCAATATTTCCCCCTTAATCCTGGGCTCCCATGATTGAAAAGCTGCAACCAGAGGAGTGCCAGGGACATTCTTATCGAGGTGCACACAGGTATTAATTTTTATTTCCTTCTGCTCTGAAGGGGTTGAAGGTTAAATGATTATTGAGTCCTCGGGGGCTTTTGCAGCACCACACCAGTGAGTCTCCTACCTTGCAAATGCTGACGGGAGATAAAAGGAAAGGGAGAAAAGAGCTTTTGTAGAACAAGGCAAGATGAGTGACACACAATGCTTCTCATGACAAATGGGAGCTTTACAAAGATAAGGGAAACTAATAGATACGCTTATTATGCAGAGCCTTAGTTTTATGTATTTTATCTCTGCTGTGTGGTTTTACCAGTCAAACATAAAAATGCCGTTTACGTGGAACTATTTAGTTTCTTATTTCACTTCTTCTGATAAACTCTCTGAAAGCATTTTAGATGAATGCAAATGAGCAACTTAAAATACAAAGGATAAGATTTAACGACAATGGGAGTCTAATAATTCATGCATGACTTTTACAGCTGGCTGGGGAACTTGGTCGTTTCCAAACCTGAGATCAAATTAAGAAATTAAGATGCAGATTTGGTGAAAGATGCTTGAATTTGACATGGATGAGAGCTGGAACTGAGCTCAGTGTTGCCAGTGGAAATCAAAGCTTCCTAAAATCAAAGCTTGCT